CCCTTCCTCCATGAACATTACATAAAAGGCAGTCTGGTACATTGTTTAACGTGCCCAATGGGGTGTTAGAAGATGAAAGCTTTATCCCTAGTTCTTTCACTGACCTAGTGAATGATCCTGAAAGGTAAACTGCTTCGCTTTTTTGTGCTTTCCATCTCCCTATTTGCTAAATGTATAGTGATAATTCACTTTCTGACGTGTAATCTGAAAGTGGTAGATAACAGTTACTACTGGGTATGTCCACACTACCTATCTGGTGATGTAAAGCATTCACTCTTGGGTACACTCCACCAACCATTCCCACTCCCATATGCCAGTCTCGAAAATGAAGTGGTGAAGCCACTCCAGCAGCAACGTCTGCAGCTGCTCTCAAGTATACCAGAGAGAGACAGTGCACATGAGTGGACATGGGGAAATAAAGTAGATGTACCCCCTGTATAGTTCTTATCTAGGTTGGAACCTTAGGCTCGCAGGAAAAGAAAGCATTGTTTCAAAGCATGCACACTTTGGGATTTTCCCTGTTATTTCCAAAGTGGAACAAAAAGGTTTTAATAGTACTTTTATGTCTCCTACTTCAGGAATAGCTGTAAACATCTATATACTCCCCACTACCTGGGCATGAATCTCAGGCCTGCTACTGCATCATTATACCAGAAAAATATAGCCTATTCACTTCTAAAAGAGGGTCATCAGCTTTCTCCCTAAACCAAAAGCTTTAGAAAGATACCTTAATCAAAATCTGGAGGCCTTTGGAGATAACACAACACTTAGATTGTACTAACCTAATTATTTTGTTTCAATTACTGATGTTTTCTATTCTTCTGTTATGTTCATAGGCTTGACAGTTCTGCTAATACAGAGATGGGCGAAGTCCACCCTGAGGGCCAGATCCAGTCAGAAGCAGACTTCATTTCCCAGCTGCCCCTGTGCATGGCTAAGGCTGGTCTCCATGGAGACTTCAGCCACACCAGCTCTGTAAAAGCTTAAGGCTGGGGTTGCCATGGAGGCCAGCCTCAGCCGCACTGGTAGGGTGCATGGCAGGCCAGAGCAGGGGCCTGCTTCAGAGCTGCTGGGATCTTGTGACGGAGGTAGCTTGCTCCAGAGCCAGGCAGAGCTGTGATCTGTAGCCTGCACGCTCTAGGCAGGGGCGCACAGGTAGGGGATTGCAACGCTGCCCCAGGTCCTTGCAGTGGTGACAGCCTGGTCTGGAGCAGGGGCAGAGTTGTGGGGGGAGAGGCAGGTCCCAGCCTCCTGCCCTGATCCACTGGTGGGGCAGCTAGCAGCAAAGTATTGCTGGAACTTGGAGCCTGCCCCTCCCCTGCAGCTCTTTCCAAGCCCCTTGCTCCCAACTGGGGAGCCAGGGCCTGGAGTTCCCTGCTGCTAGGGCAGCAGGCAACTCCCTGGGGCAGGGAGCAGTCTCCAGCTCACAACCAGGAGACAGCTCCCTGGTAGCTCCTAGGCTAGCACCCAGGGGGAACCTAGAGCTCCCCCTGGCTGCTGCAGGGGGCTGGTGCAGGGCTGGAGGGGATGGGATCAGACTGCTTCCAGAAGCAGCAAATCTGCTCCCAAAAAGGCGCACATGTAGATTACTCTGGAGTAAACCCCCGTGCTGGGTTTTACCCAAATGACTCTGGAGTAAACCCATCCAGCAGCATTTGCACATGTAGATACATGCAAAGGGAATAAATTCTTAAGCCAACATCTGGAATGTGACATTGCTAAATGACACTAGCCTGGGAAACAGGCCTGCTATGCATATCCTCATATGTATTCATCTCCAGATCCACCAGTAATAAGAGTAGAAATGAAGAAAAATTGAATTATCTTGTAGAAAAGACTCAGTATAATAGGAACATGTACTTGAGAATGGCAAAAGCTTTACAGGGATGCATTTATATAACATGTTATAAAAGAGTTTGGATGATATTCCCTATGGTGTTAGCACCCCTTGAACTTCCTAATATGAAATATGCCATGTCTGCAATGTCCGTGAAACATTTGTTATATAAACTAAAAGGGTATTTCTGATTCTCTGGTTATTTTAGATTACTGAACATTTTTCAGTCTCTTTTTCTGCATGCTTTCCAAATCCCTAGTTCTTTCCTTCATGAATCCTCTTCTGATTCTTCATTATCACCAGCCAAACTTCTATCTCCTTCTTCAAGTCCCACATTTTTAAATGATAGAAAATGCATGCTTTGGAGAACCCTTATGACCCTCTCAGAGTAACAGCCCAAGCTAACTCCTACGTTGTGATCTGACTCCTAACTAGCACTGCCAAAAAGCATGGCTCTCAACCACTGAATACATCCATCTACCCATTCTCTTCTCCATAATATATTTGCCCCAGGTCTAAATCCACTTCCTTTCTGCTTACTCTACTAATCAGTTTTAGATGCTACACTCCTTCCCCAAGCAAATGTCTTCAGGCACCACTGATGTTGGCACAGCATTTCTGGCTAAGTTTCTGAAGAATGTACGAACAACATTCATTCAGTTTTTACTCTGCAGATGGTACTGCATTATTAAACAGCACCACTCTCTCTCAAGCTTTATTCTTAGAGAGACATTTCAAGTTAAAACATAATTTTCCAATTTCCTTACCTACATCATATACATCACCTTAAAATACAGAAAGTGAAAGACCTCAGTGAAGATCATTTAATTGGTACTGCTTAATTTGCATTTTATCTTATGTTGGGAAATGAATGTAGATTAGTCCCTTTCATGTTTGCTTGTACTTATTTTTGTCATTTACAATTTCAGATTTCCACAAATTAATTTAATGCCATCACATTTCAGTTGCAAACCATGACAAAATATGTTTGCATAGGAAAATGGTATCCCCCAGAATTTAAAAAAAAATGTCATGATGATATTTAAATTTTGTAAATACTCTGGTTTTAGATTTTTACAATACTGATTTTTACAAAACCTCCTATTTTGGACCTAGTTTGTCCTGTTAGTATTCATTTAATAATTAGTAATTACATCTTCTGTTTTCAAATCATAGTGTAAACCCTGTTATTCACAACAGCCTTGTGAAGCATGTAACAGGTTGAGGTTTGATCCAATGGAAGTGTTTCACTGACTTCAACAGGTAACAGATCAGGCCCACTAACCCAACTCCTATCGGTAGGAGTATAGAACAGAAGTCATGGTCCCTGCCTTCCCAGGCGGCAACTATCTTATTGAGTCATACTCCCTCTGAATCCTTTCCTTCTGGTTCCACATATATTGAGTCATACTCCCTCTGAATCCTTTCCTAATGGTTCCACATCCCTTCCACTCTTGGCTGTTCAGTGTGCAACCTTTAACAGACTGGGTGTAGGGTATACCTGACAATGCCTAACCTATAGCCTGGTAGTTAAGATACTTTGCTGGGAATTTGGCCTAATAAATCATCTCAAAATATGTATGAAGTGTGTATGCATGTGTGTTTAGGTAACCATGTCAAGCATTAAGGCTTGTACCATGTTCAGGGGGTCACATGTCCACTGGGCAAAGAGGGGCCTAAAACCTAGGTCTTCTACTTCCTGGGCAAGTGTCCTGGACACTAGGCTACTAGTACAAAACTGTAAGGGCCCTCCACCTTCTCCTTTTCTTGCAGTTTTCATGTAGTTACACACCTTCCCAAGATCTAAAATCTGCATGAGTGATATGTTGGCAACATATGGCTCACAGGCTTGATCCAGCCCATGGAGCTAGTGGACATGGCCCACAGAGTAGGAGGGCTTTTCCTGTGTTTGCACCAGCAAGGAACTGTGTTGAAGGCAAATGGCTTCCAGCTGTGCTGGCGCCACTTCTCCATCTCCCCACCCTCCCAGCACTGGTGCAACATGGGCTGGGTGGTTTCAGCAATAAATCAGCAGTGGGGGGCTTTGCCTGTGCCTGCTCCAGAACCAGGCAACTGGGAACTGCACTTGCAACGCTGCCACTTCTCCCAGCCCCCTGCTCCCTGGTTGTGGTATAGGAGCAGCATCCAACCTGCGGGCAGTTATGCTGGGGCTTGGCATCTGCAAACTCTATCTGCGTGGCAGCTGCTTCCCTCCTCCCCTTCCCAAGCTGCAGTGTGGGTACAACTTCCAGACAGTGGACTGGGCCCAGGTAGCTTCCAATTCTTCCCAGCTGTGGTGAGGTAGGTGTGGGAGAGCAAGGAGAAGCAGCGGTAGTGCTAACACAGTTTACAGATACCCGGTCCTAGCACAGCTTCCCACCAGCTGAAGGTTGTGCCCAATCCATGCCGCATCTGGAGACTAAGGGGCTAAGAGAAGTAGCAGCAGTGCTACCTGGCTCCAGCATGGGTGCAGGGAAAGCCCCAAATTTCTGATACCCTGCTGGATTGTTTCAGCCTGTGGCTTGAAAAAAATTGCCACCCCTGGCACGTGGCCCAAAATACCAATTATGCACCCATACATCAATTTATGTGTCTAAAGGTGGAGTTGGATTTGTGCTCAAACAGACAGCAAAAATATTATATCTTATAATACTTCTCATTGATCCATAGCAACATCTCCCTGTCCTCTTCTGAGGCTGCTCCAAGTTTGTATTTGTTCATTCCCATAGCTATAAAAGCATCAAGCATGCAAGCTATGTTACAAAAACTATAACGCAACAAGACCAAAGGCTCAGATAAAAAACAAAAAAGGTTTCTGTTAAGTTACAATATATTAAAAGGTTAACACAAGACTTTTTTTTAGGGCAGTATCAAAACTTCCCAGTAAAAGAATAATAGTATCATCTCGAATAGGCAAAGAAATATACAAGAAAATGAATGCAGCAGCCAAAACCTGTAAGCTGCTCCATTTTCAGGTTGTCTTTCTTGGGATGAGACATGGTACTAAGGCACAACTGATTCCCCCTGCCCTTCCATTCACAATATTTTATTTAATATCATCAGTATGGTAACATGCAGAGAAACAAGCAGGACAAGGTGGTGGTTTTCAGCTTAGTAAGGCATATATGTACAGATGTGTTCACTGTGAAATAGCCATGTTGTTGTGACATGTAACTCCATTTATAAAATAGTTGAAGCAACTTGCTTTATAGCTGGTTGAATATGGCTTTATTATGTTCACTTATTGGACATGTTAGCAGCTCTAGTTCAGTTATGTACTTAAGCATGTACTTGAGTGGGAACGTGGTATTAGCAGGTCCTTAACTGATTTGCTAAATCGGAGTCCAGATGCCCTACCTATAGAGATCACTGTGTAGTCAGGGGAGCCCATCCTCCTCCCATACCTGGCCCGCCCTAACCATACCGCTCCAAGCATCCCCCCATACTGAGGTTACCCACAGCTGTCTTTCTAGTAGTACAAAACATCTTCCCAGAGGCCAATGTCTGGCCCATAGACTGCAGCTGAGTGAATATAGCCCTTAATGTTTAACATGTTTACATAAATGCACATGCATGCCTTCTTCATGCCAGATGTATTTTGAGATGACACATTAGGCCACACTTGTCACATTTATTATTCTTATAGTGAGCAAGTATATCCGTGACAAATGCATGAGAAGGCAGCATGTCCTCCTGTGTGTGCTGAATTCTCCTAAATCCAAAGATTATCTCCTTTTTCCTGCCCTCTAATGTGGAGACAGCTGATGGCTATACTGTATTGCTTTCCTGAAAGGAAAATCAGTTTGTTATGCAAAGGGTTGAAAACAGTACTAGCAATGAGCAACACTGAATTCTTCTTTATCAAGTTAATAGGCAATAAAATGTGTTGCAAATGTGAAGCAATGTCGTAAGGCTGGAAATTTTACTAAGTCTGAGCCCAATCCTGCCAATGTTTACTCATGTAAAAAGGCAGTGGAATTATGCTTGAGAATCAGTTACCAAATAAATGAAGGCTAGAGAATCAGGCCCTAGATTCTTTACAAGTGAGGTAGTAGTGTAATGCTTGAAATATTACTGACTTGTTTCAGCTGCTCTTGTGAAAGTACTGGACAAAAACATCTGTTTTCTGTAAGAATGAAGTGATCAGCTGCTTAACTCTTAGAGGCATCTAGTTTGAAGGAATCTCCCAAACTATAAAAATATTGTAACAAGATGTAAATATCTTACTAGCTACTGTAGGGCGCGATAAACATACATGAAAATCTGATAATGTTACACAGTCTTCATGCTTGTTTACAGTACATTTGTGGGAGAAACCCTCAGAGTAGTATTGCATTTGCCATTCAAATACAGAATGTTAAATACAGATAGTCTAGTCCAGTGCTTCCCAAACTTTTCTTCAGCATGACCCTATTTATGGCCCCATTTCCTCATCATGACCCATTTCCTAAGCAAGGCCCCTCACACCCAACCCACAGCCTCCCACCCACATGACCGTATCCGCTGATGTGCAACCCCATTTGGGATTGTGACCCACAGTTTAGGAACCACTGGTTTAGTCATTAACACATCTGCAAAGTCTAGATTAAATGTGCCTGAAAGGGCACATCTACACAGGCCTTGACTGTGCAGTTGGTACTGTGCAGTCATTTAGTACATTAGCAAGTACTAAATGACTGAACAATACCTCTAGGCACTGTGCAGTCCTGGTGATGCACGGGTCATTTTTGACCCTACTGTGCAGTAAAAACAAACTACTGTGCAGTAGAAGTGGCGTCACCAATGCAACGTTGCCACAGTGATTAGCTATATCACCGTAGCTCCTTGCTACAGCAATTTAGTGTCTCATGTAGACGCGCCCAAAGGGAACAATGAAAGAAAAAGTTTAAATTCTCCCTGCCAACACAGAACCCCTCCCTCCTCCTCCCACCCTATACAGAGCAAGTTGTCTGGCCCTAACTGTATTCCACCATTTATCTAAACAGTCCTCCACCATCAAATTAGTGAAATGTTTGATTTGTAAAGGATTCTGCAAAATTCTATCATCCAAAACTACACACAACACATTTACTTTAGATTTTTTTTGTTGTTTCATTAATTTTCTTTGCTTTTTGCCATCTAAAATGAATTTAGTGCTGGACCTGTTCGATGGCTGGCTAAAGACCATTGAAGGAAAAAGTGGTCCATTCTCTGAGGTAAAGGACAGGTTGCAGAACCAGATATCAACTGGCACTGACATTCCTGAAGACTGAAGGCCTATTTATCTTAAGAGAAGACAAATTACAGGCAAATCCTCTGGCAATTCTCTCACCAGCTTCTCTCAACATTGACCTGGTAAAGACCATTGTCAAGGGTGGCAGTCCTCCACTGCCCACTTACTAATACACTTCTAAAAGTCCATACTGACAGCTGCAAAGAGAATAATGTACTGACAATGATATTGTTAATCCTATTCTGAGAGCATCAAATCTTTTCCTACAAACCATGTGTCAGCTGTGTATGGTAATCATTTCTAGTTCGCTAAACCAGTCTCTAACCTTTCTTCTACCCAATCTCACAGAATCACAGCAACCAAACTAATTTTACAGTTCTCAATTATTAATGTTTTTCAAGGCTGAGAATTTGGCCTGGTGACATAGAATAATAATTTAGACACAAGATGAGATGTTCTTCCCTTGTACCTATGGAAGCAACTCCCATTGATCAGGGCTCTGCCCCTCTATTTGGGGGCAGGATTTGTTCAAGAGCAACTGACTTGTTGAGGTAAGTTGAGTTATAGATTTCTTGTTATACAGAACTTTAATGAAAGATGAACTTTTTGTTCCACAATAGTACACTAGTGGGGAGACTCATATTCAACCCATTAGAAGAAAAGCACTGAAGGAAATTTCCTTTCTTGCCTGGAAAGGGAAAGCATTCCTACCTTTGGGAACTGGCTGTGTATGCTTGGCTCCCTTGTCCAACTTTAAGTCCAGATACAGGGTTGGTGTACGAGTATATACCTTAGACTAGGAAAGAAGTAGGGAGAAAAACGTCAGTTCTACAACACAGAATGTACCTTTATGTTGTACAGTGATTTTCAACTAAGACAAAACATCACTAACCAAGCTACTCAATTATCATTTTTATGAGACAGGAAAAACATGAAGTTGTATAAAATGCATATTATTTGAGGATTAGTTCATCACTACACAGGTTTTTAATAGAATTGAGTTTTATAGCATTGTTTATGCTATATGGCATTATGCTATATGGCCCATGAGCAGCCTGTATTTCCC